TAACTAGAAATGAAAATTCAGTTAATTTAATGTTTGCCTGTATAATTATAAAAAACGGAATCATGGTTCTGACTGAAAATGCTTTCCTGATTGGGGAGGGTACGTTAATGAAGAGTAAATTCCTAGTAAGCTAATATCAACATATGGAATTTTATAGTTGTCCCTGAATATATTTGCTCTTGAGTATTTGTCTCCTGACAAGCTATACTGGCTTGTAGAATTAACTGTTCCATATGGCTAACAAACTTATTCAATGAGAATCTGGAAAGGAATTATTTCAGAGATACCTTCAAGAACAAATACCCCAGGAGAGCAACTTCCTTTCTAATGAACTTGGCAACATCTTGCACCACATGGAGATGTTGGGTTACAGGTCTAGGGCAGGAAAATAGTAATCTGAAATTCCTTGCTAGCCACAGTGGAACATACTCTCAAGGTGAATGGTCCCAGAGGTTTTATTTATGGACTCAGGAATTCAATATCATCTCCTGCTTCTCATTCAACACATGGTTCTACACCTCTTCCCGTCTTTCTTTAGGAAATAATATCCAGCTTGAGAATATCTTATTGATTTTGACATATAAGCAAGCACTTGGGATGAATACCATCTTGGTGGTATTTAGTTGTAGCTACAAAAAGTGAATAAAAACACAAGACTTATTTTAAAATGAATCAGTTTAGATCCTAAATGGCCAAAGAAATTCTCTTCACTATTAGTGAAGGCATGGAAGTATAACAATGAATTTCAAATTTCAGTATATATAGGCATCATTCAGGGATACTTGTTTAAAAAGCAAAATCCTATCCTAACCAAGTGAACTGAATTTCCTGAGAGTACACCCTCAGGATGATTTCTCAGGATGCAGTTAATGGAAATATTACTAGCACAGAAGTTGGGTTATAGTCCAGCTGAAAGTCAATTAGTTGTGGAAAATGGCAAGGCATTTAATCATGAATCCATTTCTTCTTCAATAAAGCAAAGGTGCTAGACAGAGATAATCTTTTAGGTATCTTCAAACTTCAAGGATCTCAGAAATAAAATAATATCCACATGTACCAACTTAAATTATTATGTGATGCTATTCCTTAGGCTTTTATAACATATGTTCAAAAAGCTATAACAGCCTGAACCATCATATTTCATTGATAATTTCAATCAGTCAATAGGATACTGGAATCTGAGGTTACAAAACTAAGCAGCATCTGTACTTTCTGTGTGCCAGTCTGTTCTAAGCACTTGATAAATGATATTCAGTCATTGAGAGGAAAACAAGAAGACAGCAAAAGGTAGTCTGAAACCACTAAAATATGTAAAAGGGAATAATGTTGAATACTAAATTGTAATTACTATTAAAACTCTGGCAATACTTAACATTAAACCATAATCATAAAATGATAAAACGATCAATGGAAAAGAACCTTACTAGGTACAAATTAATGACTCTGCCTCCTAGATTGTGAATAATTTTCAGTTCAGTAAAGAAATATCAGTTGAAATTATCAAGAAATCAGCAGCACTTAACCCTTCATGTATGTTGTCTGAGAATATAAGCAAACATAAATCTTGATATTGTCTAATTCCTTTACAAACTATGATTTTAAAGCATTTATTTTCTAAAGTAAGGGCTTACAACACATGTCAAATAGGTTAAGGAAGGAGTAAGAAATTAATTAATTTGTATGATAGATATCAGCTAGACTAGAGAAAACAGTAGCTTGCTTCTTTAAATCCTTGGTAGTTCCACTCTGGACAGAGATTCACATTGCTTTTACAATTAATTATGTTAAAAGGAAGTTACAAAATGGGAAGACCTTCCCTCATAAGAATATAATGGATTATTTACATTTACTAGAAAACTGCAACAAATTCATCACTGTTCGAGTTTTTCAAGACAATAACAAAGCATAAGATACATGTATGTGTTCTGTTTTACATTTGAGACAGAATAAGTAGATGAAGCAATAACTGGCTAACACAGACTAGGCATGTGCCAGACATACTGGACTAAATAATATTAAACAAAGGCCACTCCACCCTCAACTACAATCATAAGCTCAATTAACTTTTGCAAATGTAAACAGATTCTAGGAGAGTAAGGCTAAGAAGATGAACAGAGAAAAGGAAATTAAGCTCTATAGACTTTATGTCAAAAAGCTGGTTCAGAAAAGACAGAACTGGAACCCTCGCTCCAAACTTACAGTTTAGTAACTAGAAGTTTCACCACAAAAATATTTTTTAAAAAGAACAGGAATAGAAGAAATCTGCTTGCTTTCTTTTTCCATCTATGTATATACAAGTATTTTGTGGTTCAGGGACTCACATGCTACTACTGCAAGTGAGTGGCTCACTGCCTGTTCATAAAAAAAAAAAAAAAAAAAAAAAAAAACACCTCAGTAGATTCGACATTTTTAAGTGACTGGAAAAAATTCAGAAGAAAACTCTTCCATGACATTTAAACATTATAAGAACACAGTCTCACTGCAGCATCCACAAATAAGGTTTTACTGAAGCATAGTCAGGCTCATTCGTTTACATACTGTGATGGCTCCTTTTGTAAAAGCAAAAGTGACTAGTGATGATATAGACTGAATGTCCTATTTACTTTCTGCTCTTAACAAAGAAGGACTACAGACCTCTGCTCTTTTCTGACTCAATGAAAACTACATAATAAATATATGAAGAGTTTCATCAGAAAAGAGAGAAAATAAGACAATGGTAAAATTAAAGTTTGTATCCAAACTTTATTCTTCAATTCATAGCTAATAGGGAAAGTTTGGCAGAGTAACAGGGAGTGAGGCAGTGACAAGGAGTGAGGCAGATTTCACATTATTGTAACAATGCTGATGGAACAAAAAAAACTTCACCATTTAGACTTGAAAATCTTCAAGACTTGAAAATCCTATTGGCATATGCTTTCTCCAGCTACACCAAGTGGAAGCAGACACAAAACATAAGGAAAAGATCTCTTAGCAAGAAACAAATAAGAGGATTCCAAGGCTCCTTAACATGTGTCCACCAATGACAGAGACCAGGGTAAAGAGTTAGGGAGGAATGTGCCTTGTTATGTAAGTTCTAGGTTAGAAATCAAACCCCAAATTCTCCTTCCAGCTGGGTCTGACTTTGAACTAATCAGATGACTCTCCTAGGGTTTACTCTTTTATCTGTAAGGTAGCATGCTGACCTTCCAGAGGAATTCTCTCTCATCTTCTAAACTAGAGGAAAAACCAAAAGAGGAAAGGGACTGGGAGAGAAAGGACTTTAAAAGAAGAATGTCTTAAGAACTTTTTAAAAGTTCCTTTGTTTTAAAAGTTATCAGTTTTAAATCATAAAGTTTCTTCTTTAAAGTAGACAATACACACTTAGGAAAGAGCTGTCCCTCATCTGAGAGCAGTGAGCAGATAGCCAAGCATCAGATGGCGCTAGATGATACTAACCACTACATCAGGATGGAGAACTAAGAAACAGAGGCATTTGAATTTGAGGATGTGAGTTTGTTCCTTCCCATTCTGAGGGGTTTCAGTAACAAAAGACATATGTACCCATGCTGGGTGTGTTCTTTTTTTTTTCCCAGGAGCAAAAGCAACATTTTATCTGAAAAATGCCTGCTATACAAGTAGCCACCCAGGCATTAGTCATGAATATTATCTGGAACAATTAGGGGCCAGTTAGAACACTCAGCACCTTCCTACCACTGTACTCCAATAAAATTAGGCTTATTTATCAGGTTAACCACGTGAAAGTTTGGATAGTACAGTTCTGTTTTAAGAAACAAAATTCAAGTTAGCTCCCTGAAGAGCAAAAACAGCACACTGTCAAGTCTAGCAGAGGAATACTAACTTTCCAAAGGGCAGTATAATTTAGCCCATTAACTTGGTTTACAGGTTTCTATAGGTATTTTTTTGACCAGCATGGAATCTTAAAAGTAAAGAGTACTATTTTCCTCTAACAAATTTAAGATCTCATTTTAAAAGTTAGTAGCCTTAAACCAGAGGAAAATTATCTCAAAATTTTGAAGAAAAACATTTTTAAAAATCTAATGAATATTAAGTATAGAATTACTATATGACCTAGCAATTCCACTATTAGGTACATGAAAACATATGTCCACATAAATTTGTACATAAAATATTCACAGTGACATTTCTAATAGCCAGAAAGTGGAAACAATTCAAATACACAATAAAATGTGGTAATTCATAAAAACAGACTGACACGGATGAACCTTGAGAATACCACACTAAGCGAACAAATAAGTCACAAAAGACCACATATTGGGTAATTCTTTTATATGAAGCTCCAGAATGGGTATATCTGTTGTGGTATAAGTGACTGCCAGAAGATGATGGGAGGGAAGAGCAGCAAAGGTGGGCTGCTAATGGGCATGGACTTTCTTTATGGAGTGAGGATAATATTGTCAAGTTAGAACATTAGTGGTGGCAGCTGCATAAGTCTATATTAAAAGCTACTTAACTGTGCAGTTTATTTGAATGTGCCCTTTATTTGAATGGGTGGGTTTTTATGGTATCTCAATAAAGATGTTATGAAAAAAAAAAAACTAAACTTTTTTCTTTGCTAAAAATGATAACACTTCATATTTTAGACAGCTATAAAACAAAAACCTCACTTTTGCTGCTACTGAAAGAGGAGTCAGGTTTAAGACAGGTTTACAGATTCCCCTTTTGTGGTAATTCTTATTGTCTGACCACTTTAAGCGTTATGACAAAAGTTAGTCTTGTGTTCCTGGAGGAAATGTACTTCACTGTATTCTCCAAGATATTCATGTAGGCGGGCCCATCTCAAACTTTGTTGTGTGGTACACAGTTTTTATGAAAGCTTAGCTGCAACAATCACCACATTTCTATATCAGAATTAGAGAAAAAGGGGGCAGGGATACTGTTGTGCCCCTATGCCCCAAACAAAAACCACAGCCATAAATCAGACACAGGAGACCAAACTAACAAACATACACTGTGCTTATACACTTACTGATGCCACTTACCGCCTGGGTCTTTGGGCCTTGTTTCATCCTAGGTGTGGTAGCTCCATTCCCTACAGCCACCTCTTCAGACACTGAACTAGCTCTGGTCTTACTTAGAAAATCCACTTCATCTTCAGCTTTCCTGTCTGGCATTTCTGAAGAGAAAAGGAGGGTTATAAAGTGAGTGCATTTGAAAAAATTCATTCTTGGGACTTACTATTTACACAACAAGCTCCAGGTTTCATGTTTTGTTTGTTTTGCCTTAAATGGAAAAGTATTCTTTTGCTGTCAGGAGCTGGTGTCACTCTGACCCCATGCTGAGTGAGCTACTCTTATCACATGGTTGTGTGGTTTTCTCTAGCCTTTGTATGGGTTTGGAGCTAAGGCAAGAGCTGGTTCAGTGTCTACTGAATGTCCATTTCACCCCTGACTTTTCATGACAAATCTGTGAGTATGGTACTGACTTCCATGTGGAAAAGTCAATTCATAAACCGTAAGGGAACAGATTAACAGCTATAAGTAGTCCATTCTGACCATACCAAAAATATTTTTTAAAAAAATTGCCAGAGGGATTTGTACTGAGAATGAGACAAACCCTCTGGAACAAGTCTGACTTATTCTAAACCTGTACTACACACACTCCCGATCCACCCTATCACTGTAATCGCTAAAACTGAACTACTCCAGAAAATTACTTTTAATTTTAACTCTTTATTTTCTCCAAAACCAAAACATTAAAAAAAAGACTAGTTATTCATTTTATTAAGAAAAAAACCTTTATACATGTGTTCTCTAGTATTATGTAGTTGTCTTCTTGATGGCCACACCAACAGTCTGAACAGTGATGCTTTTGTTACTTGGCCAAACAAATACAGGAAGGAAGTGATAAAAATGATGCTGGAGGTAAATCTGGGCTTCTGACACTTGTATAAAGGGAAAAAAGATTGAACAAATTTGTCTCAGTATTCTAAATGCAAACAGAACTGTCATCTCATTTTCACGTGAAAAATGTGCTGTGGTCTTCATTGATCTCACGATACCACTACTCTGACAAATAAAAATGCTCCTTACAAATACCAAAAAACACAAAGCTTGTTTCTTTTGCCAAAGAATAAATTATACTAATTAATATTTTATTCTAGAAGTACATGCAACATGTCCAAAGTTCTCTTGATTTGGGAAGGTTAGATTCCTATAAACAAACACTTATAAATCTCCTTTTTTCTGTCCTTGCCTTTATAATTATATAATCTTACTACCAACTTAAAAATGGATTAAGAAGTTTCTTTGCCCAGAGTATCAAAATCTAAGTTTTATAAACTACACTTAAAAAAAAAATCTCACTGAGCAATGCCTTTAGAAATACCCCTTTATCAAAATATTTCTAAGTGAGAGTAATTGGAGGAATAGATGTTGATTTTTTATTTTATTCATCTGGGGATGGTATTCTTGGCACAACCTTACTTTCCTATACCCCAAAACAGAAAATATGTATCTTGGCACATAGCAACCAGTTCCAATGGTAAACAGTGATTACAGAGACATGAGGGGTGTTGGTAGCTCTGTGGGACTGGCATGGTTCAGTCATACATCACCAACTTCCTAAATACTGCAATCAATGCTTTTAATGGGTGAGAGATCACATCCCCTTTATTCTATCTGGCTCTTTCCAAATCGGCAGCTAAACCTATGTTTCCTCTCTGGTAAAACTACATAGTTAAATTTACAAGTGAAATGTAAATTTCCTAGGAAATACCCTCTGGCTCTGAGATCAGACTCAGGTGCTTTTTCTTAGGGTAATGTGACCAGGGACTTTTCCCAGCCTAATTTCTGAAGAAGGCACCGATTTCTTTATCACTGGATACTTTTCCCTGTAGTTTGAGATCATGAGAACAGTAAACCTATGAAGACACCTTTTGGAAACAGGACAAGTAATTCACATACATAAAATACACCAACCCCAAGACCACGTACACTGTTGAAATTTCCTATTTTCTTTCCTTTTTAATTTCCTTTTATTTATTTTTTAAATTTTGATTTGTGCTTTCTTCCTTCTTAAAGAGTTTACAATCTTAAAACACTTCCTAGTGTATTCACTACACTTATGTACTATTAAAGTTTGAAATTCTCCATTTTCACCTTTTCTCATAGAGCACTACAGACACAAACCCCACATAGTACAAAGTTGCTTGGGTTAAATTCTGACCATGGAGTCAGAAGAAGAAATAATTCCACCCATATGGCTAAGGACACAGCACCCAAATTAAATGAACATAGCCAGGCATCAACTTACAGCCACTCCCATTCTTCTGAAATGCCAACCTGCCAGGGGCCCCAAAATAGACTTGTTGTTGTGCCTTATTTAAAACAGTAGAGACCTTCTCATTTAAATTCTGAGACGGCGATCAACAGATTTCTATCACTAATAACTTAAAGCATTAATAAATCTAAAAACCTTTAGTCACCAAAAATTCTACTTCAGATTACTTAAATCCCCCAGCTGGGACAGGGTGGAGGGTGCAAAATGGCTAAAAGCTCTTTACCAGGGAAATTAACCACTGTGTTTAAATTGCACTTCTTCTTAAGCAACTGTTTTTGTTGCTCCGTTTCTCACCACACCACACCCCACACTCCTAACACGTACTATACTATAAAAGCTTGTCAAAATTTAAAAAGGGGAAAAAACAGAACCAAAACAATCAAATAATAAGGATAAACAAGCTATCTCTTACCTACAAAAGCACAGGGGCAGGCATGCAGATAGGTCTTCTGTCTATCAATGGTAGCAGATGGTAGTATAAGAATGTGCATCCAACTGACCTTTAAAGACTTCAGAAGTCAAGACCAAGACAGACTCCAGTTTCAGCTTCTGTCTCAACCCCCAATAAGAAGTTTTATTCAGATAGTTTATTTCCACTGAGCAACAGTGGTTTCTCTTTGCTGTCTCTGGACGTGGTTACCCATAGATGGAACAGGCTGCTGTATGAGCAATCTGCTCGGTGCAGCTGCTTCACCAAGATAAGCAGACACAAGGTCTGCCTGGTGACAGCAGCTCAGCAGACTGGGCTTGGGCGGAAATCCTGCATCCTATCCTCTGCGCTGTGCAGGGTCCTGAATTCTCAGACTCTGCTCAGAAGTAATAAGCAATGGAACTGGAGTTTTGCTCCTCAGGCAGGAAAAGGAGGGAGTCTCCTCAGTCAAACCACTGACCTCATACCACCATTTTGGGTGCTGGGTTTAAAATGATACTTATTTATAACTGTTCACAAAACTACTCTGACTCTAAATTTTCTCAGAATACAGACAGAATGATAAAGAGGAAGAGTTTCAGGCTTGTAAATAAAACACATCCTTTACAGCACTGTTTTCTATGGTTCCAAAGAAAAGAACTAGGCCGTGTGAATAAAAACATCTGCTAAATTCCTTCATCTTTTACAGTACTTGTGATCTAGGCACCATCTTCCAGTTTGGAAAGTTGCAACTGCTCCAGTGTGACAGAGCATTTACAGGCTTAAGCAATCAAGCTGTGAGTCTATAATACAGGAAGCAAAATCTGTCCAACCCCAAGACGACGTGTGTCTCTTGATGGTGTCTATTCACTTGGCAATCTACTCAATGAGCAAGAAAGACCTTCAAACAACAAAGACACCTGTATTTTACAGCATGTCCCAGAGACTCTAAAGGAAATCTGCTTCTTGAAATATTAATTTTGTATTTTGCTTTGCTTACCTGCTGCCAGCTCGGGCTGACCAATCTCTGGCTCCTCCCTTCCAGCAAAACATCCTGCAGGGTTCCCAGTCAGCTGTTCTGTCCTAAGGCCCAGATCAGGACCAGATGGTGATAACTGACTGATTTTCCCCTCAGGAATCAGCACTCCTGAGGCTTTGACTCCTTCAATGACAGCTTCCACTATACGGCAGGCAGTCGCCTCTAGCAAGTCTGCTCCCTCAGGCACATGTGCAGCTTCAACAGAGACCAAGCGATCACTCCTTTCCCTGCCTGGAGCCAAGATTCGTGTGACTTCTCTCATGCCAGTGGGAGCCTTGTCATCGAGAGTTAAGAGCCCTGTCTGTGTGGGGAGCTCCTTAGCAATAAGCTGCAGTGCTCCATCATCCATTTGTGACTCTTCGGAGTCACCCATAGAATAGCCGTGGTCTGCTCTCTCCTGCTTCCCTTTCTTCCAATCAGGATGTACCATCCCCGGGTTTGCAGCTCCCTGTAGTCCAGTCATACCTTTGTTTGTTAAATCTCCTGGCAAACTCTGGATCACATTCTTCTCCTGGCTCAATAAAACTTCTGAAACTGGGATGTTTTGGATGTTGGGTGATCTATCCTTTCTTCTGGGCCCAGCAGTATCTCGGAGAGCATTAACCATTGCAACATCCACCATCACATTTCCACTCAACTCATAAACACTGGTTTTTCCCTGGGATTCAGTATTATCAACTCCCACATCCAGAGCAAAAGGTGGATTGCAGTCAAGAGCCTCAGGTTCATCTGGCAGCAAATCAGACAACAGAGGTGAGCTGTTCTGTTCTGCATTCAAGGCTTCCTGCCTTGAGTCTGTAGCCAGATTTGCTCCTGGTGGCACCAGGCTCTGTGCAGCCCCACCTTCAGTCAGCAGGGAGACTTGTGGGGCCACTTCCTTGTTATGTTTAGTTTCTGTCTTAAGACAAGCAGAGGGTGTGCCCAGTGAAGTGCTGGGCTGAAGTGCTTTGTCCTCAGCACAGGCCACCAACGTAGGTTTTTCACAGAATTCTGGAGTCTCTTGTCCGGGAGGTAGTGTTCTCTGCTTTTCCTGAAATATTCCTGAAGAAAGCATGTCTCCCTTAGTGGAGGAACAAGGCACTGCTTTGTCCTTGTCATCTTGTCTCTGCACTATAGAGCTTTCTGGAACCACTAGATTTTTGCCTTCTTCAAAGAAAACTGAATCAGAAGTCAAAGTGGCCTTACCCACACTCAGTAGAGAAGAGTTAGTCAGAACTTCAGGAGCTGATGAGGGGCCAGGACCTTCAAGCTCCCCATCATGTCTTCCGGGGCTGGTATTCCCCATGCTTAGCTGAAGCTCCACAGCAGCCAAGGGCAAGGACAGGCCTACTGCCCTGTCTCCTGGCAACTGTTCATCAGGATCATTCAAATCTCCTCCAGCCAGGCCATCTCTACAAGCTGAAGCCCTATGTAGTTCAGGAGTTGCTGTTCCCTTTTCTTTCTGGGAGGGGACAAGAGAAAGTGCGTCATCTTTGGTTACTGATTCACTGCCTGGACTGGCTGCCAGAGAGAAAGTGCTGTCAGATGGCACCGCCTGGTCTGGAACCAGTTCTTTCTCAGTTTTAGGCACAATTGGATACAGAGGTGAAACTACCTCAAGAACATTTGTTAAAAGCGAATCTAGTTTTGAATCTTTTCCCTGACCTTTTTTATTCAAAACTTTGAGAGGACACAAATCTACACATTCTGAAGTGATTGTATTCACTTGTTGGTCTTCAAGGCAGATGGCAGTGGATGGGTCTTGTGTTTTGGGTTGCCCTTTCACGGTGTTTTCAGGTTGGCTAACCAAGTCATTGCAATGTTTTGCAATCAATTCACCACTAGAAGTCACTGTGTTCTGTTGACATTCCGAGTCAGAGCAGAGTTTATTATCTCCAGTGGCACAATAAGCCAGTAATTTTCTGTTTTGGCTTTGAGTATGAGATGAATTCATTTCTGATCCCTGGTTTGGCATTACATCTTCTTCTATCTCAGAAAAGATTAAATCCAAAGGTAACACTGCTTCACATCTGTCTACTAAGGAAGTGCTAGGCTCTAATTCATCTAAAATCTTGTTATTTGTAGCAGTTGAGATTACCAGAGAATTCTGATCTAGAGCATCAGCACTTTCCTCACAACTTCCAGAAGTTTCAGTTTCTGCTGTTTTTTCAATGGGGGTTTCTCCAAAACTAAATCCAAATGAAGACTCAGCAGGTCTGTCACTACTCGGGGCACTTGTGGCAAAGACACAGTTTGGAACACTGATTTTATCCACAGGCTCACTTATGACTGGTACATCAGCGGCTCCAGTTGTGCTGATATTCGACTTCTCAAATCTTTCCTGTGTACTTTCTACTGCTTGAGGCATATTATTCTGGGTGGCAGCAGCTATGTTCATGAGGCTATGTTCCACTTCCCCTGCACCTTGTGAGGCGCTGTTTTCTGCTGTTGAACTGTCTGCTAGTTCACCCCCTGAGAAATGCTGGGCTGTGCCTAACTCTGTGACCACATCTCCCTGCAGCACACTGCCTCCAATGCTCAAAGACTCCTCGTCTGTGCCCATTCTACAAGACTTTGTTCCAGTTTCTTCATTTTGGTTTCCACAGGATCGCAGGCCAGCTGTGCCCTTTACTCTACAGTCAGGCATGCTCTGAATGCAGCTGCCTTGATTGGTCACAGTTCCAGAGTCCATAATAGGTGGTGGCTCCACCTCTTCCCCTTTTCTCGCCACGCCTTTATTTTTTTTACTGTAGGATCCGTCTGTCTTCTCTTCCTCAACTACACTTGAAAAATCACAGGAATTCTCAATCGGTCCAACAGGGCTCCCCTGGCAGCACACAGTGCTCACAGTCTCTGTAGGAGGAGGAGAAAGCTGCTGGCTATTGGAGGACTCAGGTGGACAGAGAAGGAACTGGCCATCTGTCTCTGGGGCACTGGGCACACTGGAAAGATCCTGTGCTGTCATCATTAAGGGCATAAGATTGTCCATCTGCTTGAGGTTTGTTTTCTAGGAGGAAATCAAAGATAACTTTTTTAAAAAGCTGTTCGAGAGAAGATGTCACTGATACTTATAAGCCCAACTCTACTGAACATAACTCCCTGCCCTCTTGGCCCTTCCAAGGTCACATGATACAGTGATCTAAGCAAATACAAATTAATTATCTCTCTCTTTTTTAAATATCTCTATTTTTTTTTTTATGTTGTGCTGAGGATCGAACCCAGGGCCTCCCACGTGCCAGGCAAGAGCTCTACCGCTGAGCCACAATCCCAGCCCTAATTATCTCTCATTTCTGCTATTATTTTCCTCTCTCCACTGGGGTGTTAAAAATGACTTAGGAAATACTCACTGATTCTTTTCTATATAGAAAATTATGCTAGAAAGTAGATTAAAACTAAGGCTCAAAAATCTTATTTTAAAAAAGCACTGTGAGCCAAGAAGAAATACAATCTACCAACAAACATGGAAAAATATTCACCTTCTCTAGCAATTAGAGAAATGCAAATCAAAACTACTCTAAGATTTCATCTCACTCCAGTCAGAATGGAAATTATTAAGAATACAATCAACAGTAAGTGTTAGTGAGGATATAGGGGGAAAGGTACACTCATATATTGCTGGTGGGACTGCAAATTGGTGCACCACTATAGAAAGCAGTATGGAGATGCCTCAGAAAAACTTGGAATGAAACCACCATTTGACCCAGTTATCCCATTCGTTGGCATATAACCAAAGAACTTTAAATTAGCATACTGCAGTGACACAACCACATCAATGTAGCAGCTCAATTCACAATAGCTAAGCTATGGAACCAACATAGATGCCCTTCATCAGATGAATGGATAAAGAATATGTGATATGGAATATTACATAGCCTTAAAGAAGAATGAAAGTATGGCATTTGCAGGTAAATGGATGGAGCTGGAGAATATCATGCTAAGTGAAATAAGCCAAACCCCCAAAAAGCAAAGGGCAAATGTTTTCTCTCATAAGCAGATACTGATCCACAATTGGTGGCGGGGTGGGGCGGGGGTTAAGAAAAGAATGAAGGAACTTTGGATTGGGCAGAGGGGAGTGAGGGAAGAAAAGGGAGGGGTATGAGGGAGGAAAAGGGAGGGGTATGAGGGTGGGACAGATGGTGGAAAGAGACAGACATTATTACCCTATATACACGCATGACTATACTACTGGCCTATACTACTGGCATGACTCTGCATTAGTACATGTATAGCCAGAGGAATGAGAATTTGTGCTCCATTTGTGTACAATGTGTCAAAATGCATTCTACTGTTATATATAACTAATTAGAACAAATAAAAGAGTTTTAAAAAGCACTGTGAGCACCTTCAAAGGATGCTTTTTAATATATTCATTAAAGGGGAAGTGTCTACTTTAATCCTGTCTCATATATTCAAGTATAAATAAATCCTAACCAGTTACATAAACTGTTTTTAACCACAACACAAGATGCAATCAGATGCCTATATATCCTAAACACTCACTGATGAGTTACAAAGAATCCTTTAATCTCCCAAAGAAGCCCAACCAATCTAGTTTAACTTTTTTACATATTGGTTCACAATTTCAAGAGCAGTGACATGACTGAGGATATAGCTCAGGGGAAGAACGACTGCCTAGCATGCATGGGGCCCTGGGTTCAAATTCCAGGAGAAAACAAAAAAGTGGCATGGTAGGTATTCTTTGACATTTTAATGTCAATACTGACTTACATGAGAACATACAGCACTAATGTCTAACTTAATTACTCTCAGAGGGTACTGAGATTACAAGTAATCTCAAAAATATTTTTTGCAACTTTAAAGTATTTTTTTTAATGTAAGCAATAGAACCCACAGGGGAATGGTTAAGATAATCATGGTTCATCAACCTGATGGAAGGAATACTATGCAATTATATAAATGTTAACTATGAAGACCATAGTATAAGCAGAAAATAACATTTATAATACAATGTGGGGAAAAAATTATATACTTAATCTGTTATAATTACGTAAAACTCCCATGTGTATATAGACCTGTCTTAGGAAAAATGGAGGGGAAAAAATTACTCAGGAGTCTTTAGTAAATTTATATCCTGACTTCAGCAATTGTTATAGGAATACTATTTGCATGATACATTAAAATTATTTTAAAATATGTGATTTGTTATTATTTGTTACTATTCGAACAACTACAATGATCTCATGCATAGCTACTGTAATCTGTCCTCTCAATCATCTAGTCATTCAGTAAATATGCTGCACACTATATCATGAGACTCTTCCTAATTCCTGAGTCTACTGTAAAAATTTACATATAAAAGAGTAAAATGTGTCATCCTCATTAAAGTATCTCTATTAGAGAACACCACAAAAGGAAAAATAAAAGGATTTTCACTAAAAGCTTGCAGGCTACACTTAAAGAGTATTCAAAATTAACTTGACACCATTTATACTGAAAGCAACAGTCTCCTAAAAACTATGAAAGCAAGTCACAACATTTAATGAATATTACAAAACAGAGATCTGCAGAAATAAGTAATGTTACCTGAAGAATTTTGGAAGCTCCTAATACATGCATCCTCCACAGTTTTAACTGCTCATATTTTCTGCCAACCATACCTTTCTGGTAGCTTTGACATCTATTAATTGCTATTTTCAAGTGGACAATCATTCACCTAGTAAGAAGAGTTCTAAGGGGGGGGGACTGATTTTCTAGTAGTCTCTTCAAAGGAAAATAAAATTACTGCTTTGCAACAAACAATTCAAAAAGACAGAGGCAGGCACATTATACAACCCCACTATGGAATCTTTTGGCCTGCTGGTCTCAGAAATGATGTCTGCTCTCAAAGAAGCCTCTGCCATTGAACTGAACCTAAATGACCTTAAATGAAATTATTAACAAACTGTATCCAAATCCAATCAGCTCTGAAATAAACAACATGGAAAATTAAACTTAGCCTTTCAGATGTTGTGGTCAAGAGAAATGTACCCATATGACGTCTATACTACTCATAATAAATGCTACCAGGGAGTCTGTAATGTTTTTATGTCTGGTAACAACTTTATCTTGAAGGACTGAATGGATTATAAAATTTTAAATTTTTCTTTAGTGATCTTTTTAACCATGTAACTATCAATTTAAATATAGCAACACTATAATCACTCACTAAAACAACTGGGAAAAGGCTTCATTGATGAGCAAACTGGGTTCTTGTTCTTTAGCAACAATCTCAGAAACTGTTTTCCCTCATTCAGTTCTATAAAATTAAACCAAACACAGACAAATTTCCTTTTATGCCAGGAAAATTTAGTTCTAGTTGTTGCTTACTTCTACATCTACAATGTGTGTTTATAAATCTGGCAAAAGTCAATTTAAAACACTCTGCCCCCTACTGCTATAACCCTCATGCTAATTCTGTATCTTAAGTGATATCATCTAATACCACGAATGCTGCTTTACAGGTTTCATGGCCTCGGTGAAAGGCATTTTATGTTTTAACAGTAAGCTTCACTAGGATAGGCAGGGACACACACAGGAGCATACATAAACCTGCAAATGAAAACCTTCTTCCTTACCATCAGTTGCTGTTGGATGTTCATAAGTTTAAAAATATGTCCAGAGCAAGTGTCTCCAGGAAACGGAGGTTCATGATGTGATTCAGACTCAGAGGTCAATGTATAGATGTCCAATTCTCGATGATGCCTCACAGAACAATCTCCACAAGGGATTTCATAGGATAAACTGCTCCAGGAATCTGGCTCTCTAGCATTCTCCCTGCAAGCAAGTAAACTCTGGTTAATATATAAACACAATCTCCCAGGTGTAGGTTTAACCCGGCAAATATCACATCATATTTCTAACCTGACTGCTATTAAGGCTCTATAGCAAAATTTTGGTTTATATAGCTCCCCAATAATACAGGAATATAACTATTTTCTCTATCTTCCTCATAAGAGGTTACAAATTGGGCAAATGGAAACCACAGGATTCCTCCCTAAAGACATTCTTTTGATTAAGACAAAGAGAAGTTTAGGATCTTAAAATAGTTAATATTATGCTAACAATCAATAATAAGAATGTGTTAAGAAAGATGGCTTTAGCCTGGTTTCCAATAGTAGCAGATTTATTAAAAATTGCTCTTTAATAGATTATACCTTACACTAATTACAGATTATATGGGAAGAAATACCCAGTTGCTACAACCCCTTTAATGGTACTTTAACGTTTGTAATAAGTGGAGGAAACACCCTCAAACTTCTTGAAGTCAATTCCACAGAGAAAACTATAAAATGCCTTATACTATTCTTATTAATATAATTATAAGATTCTGTTTTGAATCATTAATTTATTTTTAATTTAAAGAAGAAACAGGGCTGGGGTGTAGCTCATTGGTAGATTGCTTGCCTAGTATGTATGAGGCCCTGGGTTCACTTCACAGCACCACTAAAAATAAACAACAATAAACAAAAAACTGTGCTGAATTCATTTCATTACAAATATATATACAAATAAAATTGACAAGGGTACAGGCATATAACAAAGCATTTCTGGCATAGCCCTGAAAGCATGAAGTCTCTATATAGTTCCACTATTAAAAGTCAGTTGTTTGGATCAAGGTAAGTGAATTTGTTTTGTAAGGGCCACAGTACCTCTAATTCTACCCTTCCTTCGATAAGACACACTCATAATGCTTGCATAAAACACAAACCAAAATGTCTATTGTGTTTTTCACAGCAGATGAAGGAATTTCAGGGCACAAGATAAACCAGCAATGAAAGCCGACAATGGTACACCATACAACCTCATATTCCCAATTACAGTATTTTGGCACACATTTCAAGTGTTAAGCAGCCTTTTCGGTGCTCAACAGAAGTATAAAAATTTCTAAAGTTCTGATCCTTGGTGTCACTGTCCATTCTTGTTAGTTTGATATAAGGTGTAATGACAGAGTTGGAGATTTCTGAATTCAAACTTCAGGGCTGTTATTTCCTAGCTACATAATGTTATAAAAGTCTCTTAATTTCTTTGGGCCTTCATTACATGATGCACACGAAGGGATTTTTCAAGAATTATAATACAAAGAACTATGTCTTTACTATTTGGCATGGAGAAATAAAAAAATGATGTTGCCTATTACTCCTCCTGCTTTCATTCACTTAAAAATAGTTCTAGTATGCCTTCCTTCCTTGTTCATCTTGTTTTCTGTATTTATCAGAAAATCCTGTTTCTTCTTAAAGCTTTAAAAATACTAAAAACAGTTCTCAAACATCATTCTGAGTAGATACCTAGTAGCTCAAATATTAGGTACAACAATAAGATTATGCTATTAATCCTTCCCTCCTTATCTGAAATGTTCTTTATTTTTTCTTTTCTTATAACACTGGTGTTTTGGGGTTCCTCATATTATATTTCACCTAAGCAAACAGTACGTTGGTAAAGTACCTTAAGAGATTATGGGGGAAGAGAAAGGTTATACTTGACATCAATGTCATGTTTTGAAATGAAAGTAACTAAAAAAATCAAGACAGAGACACAAGTAATTCAATTATCTCTCCAGAAACATTTTTTATCTCATAAATCATATCTGTCATTAATAACTCAACTTGAGAACAAATGAAATTTTAAAAGTGTGGTGGATAAGTTAGACCCTTAAAAGTTCAATGGAATGGCTCAAAAAAAAAAATCAGTTACACCAAATGAGAGAGACAATTTCTCTGAAAACTCAATTTTCAAGCTGAGTTGTTTAATTCTTAAATTGTTCCATTTCTATTCTTTAAACCTGGGAAGTCCCTGTCTCTGACTACAAGTTATTTACATTCCAGAGGAAGGTGCTTTGGTTGTCACGTTACCTCCAGGTACTAACTTTTCAATCTCTCATTTCGTTGTCCCTATGGACTGTTGTTGCTTCTCAGTTCCTCTAAAGACCTGTCACTGCAATTATTTTCTCACTGGCTTCCATGAATGTTTGTTGCTACTGACATTCATCCAAACCCATCTTATCCTACAGGTCTCAGTAAATCCACTATTAATTTATTCAGCAAGTATTTATTTGCCATGCACTATTCAAGGTGCTGGTGAAACAAAACCAAAATCCCTCTTCTGTTGAGAGCTTATATATTCAACAAGGGAGAAAAGGGCAATCAAGACAAGTAAGTCACCTAGAAGATAAGCAAGTATTATAGAGAAAAGCACAGCAGGGATGAATCTTGCAATTTGAAATATGGTAACATTTAAATAAATATATCTCCTACTCTGAATTAAACCTGTATAAAAACCTTTACTAAGTCCACTAAGAAAAAAAGCTGGCAAAGCTCTATTCATAAGAATGTTAGCAGCAACTTTAGGTATTGTAGCATTAAAAACTGAAAACACTGGAGGAGGAGCCCAGCCTCTCGCCTGCATGGTAGGCAGACCACGCAGCCCGGAGAGGGGACACAGCCACCCACCTGTGCGGTAGACAGACCACCCCAACTGGAGAAAGGGCCCAGCCGCCCGCCTGCGTGCTAGACAGATCACCCCAACTGGAGGAGGGGCCCAGCCTCCCACCTGCAGAGTAGGCAGACCACATGGCCCGGAGAGGGGGCATAGCCACCCACCTGCACAATAGACTGACTACTCCAACTAGAGTAGGGGCCCAGCTGCCCACCTGCTGGGTAGACAGACCACCCCAACTGGAGGAGGGTCCCAGCTGCCCGCCTGAGCAGTAGGCAGACCACCCCAACTGGAGTAGGGGTCCAGATGCGCGCCTGCAGGGTAGACAGACGACCTCAACTGGCGAAGAGGCCCAGCCGCCCACCTGCACGGTAGGCAGACCACACAACCAGGAGAAGGGGCCCAGCCGCCCGTCTGTGTGGTAAGCAGACCACCCCAACTGGAGGAGGGGTCCAGCTGCCCGCCCGTGTGGTTACCTGACCGAGATCTGGACAAACATAAAGTCTCCCCAACACCCCACCTCATCAAACACCTTATGAGAAAAACTGATGGAACTCATCTTGGAAAATCCAACCAACCCTTAAAACCCATCAACGGGTAGGCGTGGCTACCAGCTCGGTTCTGCAGGGTATCAGGCACCTGGTTTACATCTCAGAGAATAAGAGTAGAGAGGCCACAGGTGGAAGCTCAATTCCTCTCACACTGACTGCCAACACCACCCTGAAAGCAAAGACTCAAGCTAGGAATAGACAACGCCACCTACTGGAAGAAAAGAAATCAGAGTTCTGAGAGACTTTTTTTCTTTCTTTTTTCTTTTTTTTCTCTTCTCTCTCTCTTTTCATCCATGCATCCAGTCTCCTCTACCCTTCCCCCTCTGGTCCTCACAACCTCAACATATGTGAAACCAAGAAGGGTGCATGGAAAACGTCTTTAACATCTGAATCACCGGAATAATATAATATAGAGGAATTGCATATGCCCCACCTGCCTCCCCGCTTTTATTT